TTATCCAGATCTGGAATTGCAAGCTGTCCCTCAAGATGTAGTCCCAAAGGAAAAATCTTAGAGCTTTAATTATTCTAAGAGATAATGAGTCTAGGATGTTTCCAAGGGCATCCTTGGTTGTGGTCCTCTCTAGATACCTGGAATCCAATGTCTTCCTACTAAGTAACTCTTAGACCAGGCCATGAGACCCATTGGTATCTCTGTTTCTAGAACATTTTACCAGCCCCTCCTCAAAGGAAAGATCATTTCAGAAGGTCTGGCATAAGAAAAGACTGGGTTCTAATAACCCAGTAAAGAACACATTATCAATACATACCTCTCCTCAACACCCCTCCTCTGCCCAGGACCCTAAACATATTCCCTTCTCAGACAGTAACAGGAAAATCACTGTGAGCTTCATGATTTACAAGCCAAGTCAAAATGGTTGTGGCTAACCCCTCTTCCTCTCACTCACTATGGTCTAGCCACCACAGCCACTGGTCAACTTCTCCTGGTGAACTGATTCCTCCCTTACTTAGGACCTTTGCACTTGATGTTTCCACCACCTGGAACACCCTGTGTGGGAATCACATGTTGATTCCTCCTCCTCATTCAGGTACCAGCTCAAATGTTACCTCCCAAGACAGACCTTTCTTGACCACATAGTCTTGTAATCCCCCGTGCCAGTTATTCTCACCCTCTTTTCCATCATCAGAACACTTACCACTCTGATATTATCTGCTCACTTATTTGTTTACATGCTTATCATCTGCTCCCCCTTTTTGACCCTAAACCCTACAAAAGCAGGAACTCTGTTTTATATACTGCTGAACTTATGTTGCTGACACTAGTGCCTGGTCCAGAGCACATTTTCAATAACTATCTGCTGAACAAATGAGTGAACATGTCGTGAGCCAATTGTTTTGGGAAGAACTTCAGGGCCCTGGCTTTCAGTGTAAGATCTGCAGGAAAAGCAGGTGGAAAGGCAGTGAGTGGCCTAATGTGTGTTGAGTGGGACCAAGTTGACTCATCCTTGTTCTCTTAGGTCCACTTGGTCTCTCCACTGTCTCACTTACTCCCTGGCAACACACCCACACAGGGTTTACCATGGAGAACAAGAAAGTAGCTGTCTTCTTCCAGATCAGCTGTCACTAGAACACAGTTCAGGAGGAGATTCTGTGGCTTCACACCCTGTCCAATGTCTTGGAGCTTGGAATCTCACCATAAATTATAACAAAGGCTGAGTAAATGGAGTGCTTTCTCCAGGAGTTGGATTTCTTCTCTCTTCATTATTACTTAAGGCAATCAAGTGGTCTCCCCTTAGCTACTGGTAAGGCCAGTTACCTTTCTAGGAAACCTCCCACTACAGCAGCCAAGTAGCAGCTTTTCTCGGAGCACATCCAGACCAAGCCCTGTACTCCGACGCTGGGGACCTTCAAGAGAAGCCCATGCTCAGAAATGACTGGCTCCACAGTGGCAAGAGGGGCTGTGCTGGGCTCTAAAGCTCCTGAACCCCTCACCAAACCAGCCAGGGAGGGGAAACTAATTTGGGCCCAAATCAGTTACGGGTGTTCAACTCAAGTGAATCCCTCAGAGAGGCTATCAGAGGACCAGCCTGGAATCCTAGGACGGGGGACTTAACAGGGTGAGAGGTGAGGGGCAGGCTTCCTGTGGGGAAAACCACAGCAAATGGAAAAATCTGAAGAGATACAGGAGCCACTACAACTAAGGGCCTCTGCCCCAAAACTCCATACTCTGAGCCGGGAGTTTCAGCCTACCTCTGCCTGAAAATACTCTCTACCCACACCCACCCCCTCCTTCCCTGTGCTGTTTCATTTCCTTTCAGAAAACTTTGTTTTGGTTTGATATTTGCCTCTAGGCCTCTGGGAGAATTTTCTGAGCTTTGTTTCTCTTCTTGTTTCTAGGATACCTGAGCTGGCTCCTAGAGCAACAAGCGCAGTAGGAACAAGAAAGGAGGGGAGGAGGTTAGGGTAACTAGATAGGAAGGCAGCTAGGGAGAAAAAAGCCTACTTTGGCTCACACATACTTCTGTAGCCCCTAGACACCCCATAAGCTTATCAGGGGGGTCCAGCACAGAGCAAAGCTAAAACACCCAGAAAGGAGCCATGTGCAAAAAGAACACTTGAAGTTCTAGGAAATCAAAAGGTCAGGGAGTAGATCAGGGGTACAGCTCAGGGCTAGCCCAAGCCAAATACACTAAGGAAACCTACTAGAGGTTACAGTAGAGGAGTCTCCACGCACTACCTGGAAGATATGACTTCCAGGCACATGTGCTAGGCCAGGACCTGCTCATAAACACAAGTACACACCCTCAATGGCGCCAGGCCTGGGGCCTAGGCGTGTGGGAAAGACAGGGGGAAGTGGAGCTACACACTCCCCATAGCAGAGACACAGGGCTCAACACGTACTGGTCAGCACCCCAGGCCTTTCCTACCAATCCTACACCTACCCCAGCCCCACCTCCAACAAGAAGGAACCTGGCTTCCCAAGGCAGGGGCAGGAATGAGTAGAATTCCCCTGAGGCAAGCTGCACAGGGTTCTCCAGGTACAGAAGTCATTTACCAACTTGCCTCTGGAGGAAGAGGTCAGCCCAGGCCCCACAGCTAGTGCAGCTCCCACAATATCCCCCACAACAAACATCAAACACCACTCAGAACAGACTGACCCCAGAAACAGGGATAGAAATCTATTCCCTGGCACTGATCCACCTGCCCACAAACTGGGCTCTTCTCATTCAAATGTCAACGCAGCTAAGGGGAAATGTTGTTGTTGTTGTTGTTAAGTGCCGTCGAGTCGTTTCCGACTCATAGCGACCCCGTGCACAGCAGAACGAAACACTGCCCGATCCCAGGCCAGCCCCACAATCCCTGCTATACTTGAGCCCATCATCGCAGGCACCGTGTCAATCCATCTCATTGAAGGCCTCCCGCTCTTTCGTCAACCCTCCGCCCTACCAAGCATGACATCCTTCTCCAGGGAATGGTCCCTTCTTACAACATGACCAAAATAGGTGAGACAAAGTCTGACCATTCTTGCTTCCAAGGAGCATTCTGGCTGCACTTCCTCCAGGACAGATCTGTTAGTTCTTTTAGCAGTCCATGGTACTTTCAGCATTCTCCGCCAGCACCACAGCTCAAAAGCATCAACTCTTCTTCGGTCTTCCTTATTCACTGTCCAGCTCTCACATGCATACCAGGCGATTGGAAGTATCATGGCTTGTGTCAAGTGCACCTTAGTCCTCAAGGAGATATCCTTGCTCCTCAGCACTTGAAATAGTTCCTTCGCAGTTGAATTTCCCAATGCTACACGTCGTCTAACGTCCTGACTGCTGCTTCCGTTGGCATCGATTGTAGAACCAAGCAACGTGAATTCTTTGACAACCTCAATCTTCTCTCCATTTATTGTGATGCTGCTCATTGGTCCAGTTGTGAGGATTTTTGTTTTCTTTATATTGAGACGTAATCCATACTGCAGACTGGATTCTTCAACCTTCATCAGTAGGTGCCTTAAGTCATCCTCACTTTCAGCAAGCAAAGTTGTATCGTCTGCATATCTCAGGTTGTTAATGATTCTTCCTCCAATCCTGATACCACGTTTTTCTTCATATAGTCCAGCTTCTCGGATTATTTGCTCAGCATATAGATTGAATAAGTGTGGAGAAAGAATACAACCCTGACGCACTCCCTTCTTGATTTTAAACCATGTAGTGTCCCCTTGTTCTGTTCAAACGACAGCCTCCTGGTCAAGGTGCAGATTCCTCATGAGTACAATCAAGTGCTCGGGAATTCCCATTCTTCTCAATGTTATCCATAATTTGTCATGATCCACACAATCAAATGCCTTTGCATAGTCAATAAAACACAAGTAAACATCTTTCTGGTATTCTTTGCCTTGAGGCACCCGAATCCTAACCACTAGACCACCAGGGAAAGGGGAAAAGCAGCTGCTAAATACAAGCAGAATTTCTGGTCTGCCGCAGCCCATACAATTTTAAGAGTAAGAGCTCTACAGACAGACAATTTGGGATGGAATCCCAGTATAGACACTTACTAGCTATGTGGCCTCGTACAAATTGCTTAACTTCTCTGAATCTCTACTTTCCTACTCTAAAATATGGGGATGACAACAGTACAAATCTCATAGGGTTGCTCTAAGTACAGGAATACCTAAGAGAGATTGTGGTTTGGCTCCAGAACACCACAATAAAGTAAATATAGCAGTAAAATAAGTCACATAATTTTTTTGGTTTCCCAGTGCATATAAGTTATGTTTATACTATACAATTGTCTATTAAGCATGCAACAGCATTATGAAAAAGTTTGAAATAGTGTGAGAATTACCACAATGTAACACAGAGACACAAAGTGACCACATGCTGTTGGAAAAATGGTGCCAACAGACTTGCTCAATGCAGGGTTGCAACAAATTTTCAATCTGTAAAAATGCACTATCTGTAAAGCACAGTAAAACAAGGTATGTTTGCATTACCAGTACCAGTTGCAGGCGAGTCAACTTCGACATATGGCAACCCCATGTGTGTCAGAGTAGAACTATACTCCACAGGGTTTTCAATGGCTGGTTTTCTGGAAGTAGATCACCAGGGCTTTCTTCCAAGGTATCTCTGGAAATGTTCTAAAACTGATTTAAAATGTGAATATACTAAAAATCATTAAATTGTACATTTTAAATGGGTCCTTAAAAACAGTCATTAAAAAATGACTAGAAAGTAGTTATTAAAGATAGTGTTGGGAGCTGTGTGTAGTGCAAGTATGAATCTATATCTGTGTGTGGGGTAAGTGGAGTTGGTAGACCAAAAGCAGGACAGGATGGCAACAAAGACAATACCTAACAAAGGGCCCCATTATCTCCCTTACAAACATGGCACCAAAAAATTAACCTAGATATATCTCCCCAAAGATACCAGAAAACGGCCACCTACCCTAACTGGCTTATGCCAGATATAAACTTCCGTGCAATAAGCTCTCTTCCAAGGCACTTACCCTGCTGGGTAGGCAACTAAACCTGACCGAGGGTCACAAGCAAGTCCTCTGCCTCCAGATACTGTTATTCCCAGAACCTTCTCCAAGGTCACCTTTGGAGCAAAAGAGAAAGGAGACATGTTAGAAACAGTAAGGTAGGGAAGGAGGTACATAGGACTATCTGCAGTGCTGGCTACTCTCCTGATGTTCTTTTTCAGGAGAATGGGGTTAGTGACTTCCCAGGTTCTGTTCTGACCATTGACCTCTTTTTGTTGTTGTTGAGAATATACACAATGGAACATATACCAATTCAACAATTTCTACTTGTACAATTCAGTAATACTGACATCATTCTTTGAGTTGTGCAACCATTTCTTACTCTCTGCTAAAGGGGCTAGGAGGCCACATATTCTGACCTCCTCTAATCCCACAAGAGGAAGACAGAATCACCATTAGCAGCCCAAGGCCTGTTCCTATGAGGCCAGACATGCTGTCACCCTCCAGTCCTCTTACCAACTTTGACACCAACTGTCCCTCCTGTGGTACCCACCACCTCTTTGCTGGGTTCAATAATTTGCTAGAGTGGCCAAACAGAAGTCACAGATTATGGAGTTTATTAGGTAAGGAACAGGCTACAATTTGAGTTCAGGAATGCACTCAGGATACAGTTCTTCAATCAGGACAGTCTCCCCTATGCTGTGTCCTTAGACACGCCTCTCTGGCTCATGGCCTCTCAGCCTGACCTCTCTTCTGTGGGCCCAGTAAGCCTGATGCTCTGTCCCGTGCCTCTTGGTTCCACTGCCGCCGTCTCTCAGCTGGCAATAAGATTCCCTTCTGCCTCTCAAATTCACTGCCATTGAGTCAATTCTGACTCATAGTGACCCCTCCTTGAGTTTCTGAGGCAGTATCTCTACAGAAGTAGATTGCCTAGTTTTCCTTCTGAGAAGTGGCTAGTGGGTTTGAACCACCAGCCATCTGGTTAGCAGTTAAATGCTTTAGGCAGTACACCACCAGAGCTCCCTTCTGCCTCTAGGAGGGCTCATTTTAAGCCTGGCAGAGTGGCAAAACTAACCAACCCCAACATCAAAGTTCTACACAACTGAGAGAGAGTGAACTTTCCCAGTTTACTTAGTGCTGCTCCAACAGAAATACCCCAGGTGGGTGACTTTAACAATCAGGAGTTTAAAAGCAGCTACTCAGATACTCAGGGCAAATTTCACCAGGGAGTTAACTGCCAGTCGGTGGTAGTTACTACGTACCTTCCACTGGATTACTAGGTGGGACCATGTCAACTTGGCTGGGCAGCTGGTAGTAGTTATTCCCTACTGCTACTACGTCAGTGAACAGGTTGTTCCGTAGCTCCCCCAGCAGCCCTGAGTGGCCCAGCAAGGGCACAGTGGCATTCACCTGCAGAGACATACTACTGCCACCACCCATCCACCCTGGAGGTTGCCCCTAGAAATCAAGCCTGAGGGAGAGAGGGGAAGCAGCGAGCCCCATTGCTGTTTGAGATGACTCTTCAGCCCAGACAGCATCTGAGTCATCCTAGACTTCCATGTGGCTGCAGAGCAAGCAGAAAGGGGCTCAAGTGAAGCAGGATCTCCTGGGAGTGAGCTGGGCAGGCCGTGGCCCTGGTGGCTACTTGCAGCCTCAGCACCTCACCTTTGAGGTCTTGCTGTCATCGAGGTACCAGACTTTGACGTGCTGGTAGGGAATAACTACTACCAGCTGCCCAGCCAAGTTGACATGGTCCCACCTAGCAATCCAATGGAAGTTATGATAACTATGGCTAGAAAAGCCATACCATGCAACTCACTACACCGCACTCTCCTTTTCCAAATTATTCGTCTCCCACTAACATAAACTCAGTGTACCCTAAGTTTTCTGTGTAGCCTTAAGAGTTACCGCTGTCAATTTAAATCACAGATAGTTCTTTAAAAAAGCACAATGCTCAAGGCAGATATTCTTTACTAATGAAACTAAACTGTTTGGTTTAAAGACTTAAGAAGGTATTTTTGATTTAAGGTTTTTTTGTTATCATTTTTCTATTTTCTACCTTTATTATTATTACTATTATTACTACTACTACTATTACTATTATTATTATTTTACTTTTTGCAGTGTTCCCTCTTCTTTCCACCCCTGGTAACCAACAAAGAAAGTTTCCTTCCATATATAAACTTTTCCTTGACTTTTTACGATAATGAACTGATACAATATTTGTCCTTCTGTGATTGACTTATTTCACTCAGCATAATGTCCTCCAAGGAGCTCTTGGTAGCATAGTAGCTAAGACACTTGACTGCTAACCAGAAGGCTGGCAGTTCAAACCCACTAGCCACTCCTCAGAAAAAAGGTTGGGCAATCTACTTCTGTAGTGATACCACCTTGGAAACCCAAGGAGGGGTTGCTATGAGTTGGATCAGACTCCAAGGCACGTAACAACAACAACAATGTTCTCCAAGTTCATCCACGTTATGTGGTATTTTGCAGATTCTACATTATTTTTTAGTATTGCATAGTATTCCATTGTGTGTATATACCATAGTTTGGTTATCCATTCTTCTGTTGTGGTTTAAGGTTTAAAGATTATTTCAGGTAGACAGTTTTGGGGGTTCATCCAGTCTTAATGGCTCCAGAAAGTACGGATTCTATGAGAATTTACATTTCTGTTCCTCACCACCACCCCTGCACCCCTTTGATCTATGGAAGAATCATTTTGATCAGGATTCTTCTGTAGATTCTTTGATCAAAACATTCAATGGTAGCTGGGTACCATCCAGTTCTGGTCTCATAGCAAATGAGACAGCTGTTCCTGGAGGCAATTAGGCACACATACCACTTCTTCCTCTTATTCCTAACTTTCCTTCTTCCTCTGTTGTTCCAGAAGAACAGAGACTAAATGTTGTACCATGAATGGCCACTTGCAAACTTTGAAGCCCCAAGGCACTATCCCACTGAGCTCAAAGGGGGTAGAAAATAAGCACTAAAATAATATTATGGCCATAGGCTTCTTGATCACATAAAAAGCCAGTGTGTTTCACCTGTATTTAGCAAGGCTCAGTCTGCTGGTACCATGGGGGAAAGAAATCGACTGGCAATAGAGGGACAAGCATTGTCTCAATCCAGGAAGGCACAATATATAAGATAAAGCCTTGGGTCCTCAGATACCCAGAATCAGGGATGTCACTATCTTCACATCTTGGCAGGCATGAAAGGAAAGGACATTCCAATCAACTAAGAACGAGAAGAATGTTAGATATCACTTAAATAATAAATAATATCTCTGATCTTTGCATTCCATCATGACTCTACCCCATAATATCTGCCAGTTCATGGAGACTATACATATAGGAGGCAGAAACATGACTTAAGGCTGTGTTTAGCAAAGCACAGATGCTCAGAGTGCTCTAATTATTAAGCCACAACTCCCACAGAGATGAAAGGGAAACAAACATGTATAAAGTACTCGGAGATTCTAACAGGACATGGCTACACGAGAATTCACCATCATTCTCATCATCACTAGTGTTATCCCACACTGTCTGCAGTCCCCAGGGCCCACATTAGATTACCTCAAATTAGTTCACTGGCCTTCCTACTGCATGATCCCATGTGAAATTCAGACTATCATGTAATCTGCTTGTCACTCCAGCTCCAGTCTCTTCTAGCACTGCCTAAGCTCCCTGCACTGGCCCTCCTCAGGAATGTCTTTGGTCTCTGGCTTAGAGAGATGCATCTGTATACAGAATGGCCATGAAAACTCTGACCCTGAGGAGAGTCTTAAAGGCCCAAGGAGAGCAAGGTGAGCCAGAAACATGTTAGGGGTGTTCCTGCCTTGTGGTAGGGTGGTCTATTCCTAGCCCAGGCTAGTTTCTAGAGAGGGGAATCACAGAATCCATTAGGATTGTGGTATAGTGAATTATTTGGTCTTCTAGCCATGGTTTTTGTGACTCCCACAAGATTACTGGGTGCACCTATGCAAATATAAGATTCTTGCAGCCCATGAAGAGGACTGGATAGTTTGACAGTATGGTGCCCTTGTGGAAGTGGGACCATGGAAATAAGGTGCATGCATCCCTAATGTGGGAATTGGTCAGTTTTGTCATTCTGCTAGGCTTAAAATGAGCCCTCCTAGGGACCAGGTTTGCAGGTCCGATAGAGCCTGGTGGAACTACTGAGACTATGGCCCCTAGCTGACCTTCAGGTCTGGAATTGAGCGCACACCTGTGGTTTCCAGCCAAACAGAAGACAAGTATACGAGTTGAACATTTACCTGAGGTAGATACACTCCTTGGAGAGAACAATCATGGGAGAAAGAAGGGCTGCTTATGCACAGGGAGACAGCTCAGGGGGCAGGAGTGAATGGAGGGATGGACACAGGGAAGAGGTAACTATCGGGAGGAAGTGGGAGGGGAGATGTTGCATTGTGGTAAATTGTGGTCAATGTTATGAGACAAAGTGTATGTGAAGTGCTGTATGGAAAGTGAACTTACTCTGTAAATTTTCACCCAAATCACACATAAGAAAAAAAAGCCCTCCTAGAGTCAGAAGGGGGGAATCTCACTGCCATCAAAAGAGAAGAGCCAGAGGTAGAGTAGAGCACATCCTTGGACCTGAGGTCCCTGCACTGGACCTCCCTGGCAGAGAGACTGGCAGAGAGATGGTGGCTGAGGAATCAAGAGGAACAAGACAGAGCAGCAGGCTTGCCAGCTCCCACAGAACAAGAAAGCTGAGTGCCTTTGGGCAGGACGCTTGCTGGCAGATTGGGGTGCCCCTATGAGCAGTGCTAAAAGAGCTTTGTAATATATGCCTGAGCAGGGCAAAGGCGAGGTTGAGAGGCCAAGGGCCAAAGAGAGGGCATGAGGGCATGGCCGAGGGGAGGCTGTCCTGATCTAAGAATTGTATCCTGAATTTCTGAATCTGAATTGTAACCTGTTAACTTCCCTAATAAACCCCATAATCTGAATACTGTCTGTGAGTTCTGTGTGGCCAATGCTACGAATTATCAAACCCAGCAGAGAAGTACAGTGCTGCAGGAGGGACAGTTGATGTCAGAATTGGTAAAAAGGCTGGAGGATGTGGGCATGTAATCAGCCTTGGACTGCTGACG